AAAAAAAAAAAAAAAAAAAAAGAAAAGAAATATGGTATTGTGCTTCGGCAATCATAAAAAAAAATCAATTTCGAGCGCTTAATAATATGTATATGGTAGTTTCAATTACATATATATGGTGGCATATTTCTGCCATCCACTTGCGACTTACGAGTTACGTATGTCGACATAATTATTGAAAGATGTCGACATAATCTGAGAATATGTCGACATAATCTGAGAAGATGTCGACATAACTGTTAAATTATGTCGACATATTATCACATTTGCCGAGATAATTTTGCCGAGATAATTATCTCGTAAGTGGGTAACTCGGCTTTTTATCGTGTTAATGCTCGGGTGTGACATCGACTTGCCACTTACGACTTGCCACTTACGACTTATTTATGTCGACATCCTAGTAGATTATTGCCGACTTACCAAAACGAGGCTTGTGCACGAGGACCGCGAAGGTGGGCTGATGGTGACTGAACAGTGGTGACTATACTGGTGAGTAACTTGGTAAAATCAATGTAAATATGGGAAATCAAAGATATGGATATTACAGTAGGTTACTATGATGTACAGAGTTTATCAATCAAAGAGGGGTTTTACATAAATAAGTCGTAAGTCGATGTCACACCCGAGCATTAACACGATAAAAAGCCGAGTTACCCACTTACGAGATAATTATCTCGGCAAATGTGATAATATGTCGACATAATTTAAAAGTTATGTCGACATCTTCTCAGATTATGTCGACATATTCTCAGATTATGTCGACATCTTCTCAGATTATGTCGACATATTCTCAGATTATGTTGACATCTTTCAATAATTATGTCGACATACGTAACTCGTAAGTCGCAAGTGGATGGCAGAAATATGCCACCATAATACATATATTTATCAAATTTGTTTAATGATATGCTTTATTTTCCACCTCAGTTAAATGTGCAAGATTTACAGGAATTCTAAATTGACGATAGGTCAGTTGTTTGATAACTGGAAGAAAAAGACAAACAAGATTAGAAATTTACAAAATCATTCACAAAACAAACCACATTCAAAGCCTTCCCAGCATTAATAATTAATAAATAATATAATGTAAAATGTATTTGTTTGTAAAATTAAAATGCAAGTCTTTAAACTAATAATTAAGTAAAACATGTATATGTATGCATGTGTTTGTGTGTGTATGTACTTGTATGTCGGTCAAAAGTCCTCCTGAACTTATGTTATATGTTTGATCTCACCGATTTACAATAAAATTTCTCACCTCTTTATTTTCTCCAAAAAGAAAGTTTACATTTTTAAGAACTCTTTTATTAGGAAATGAATGCCACACGTATGTCGAAAAAGGGAATTCGAAGCAGTTAACTAACTAAATATATAAGATGATCACCATTATACATTCATAGTGAATACATCATGATAAAGGTACAATGAATCATTTATCAAACTGTATGTATAATGGTTACATACTAAATACAGGTAAATATTTAATGTTGTCTGTAACACACCTTTTTACTGATGTGTTTACAGTCCAGCAAATGATAGACCGAAAATAATGACAACACCTTCTGATAACGTTATTCCGTCTTTGCGTATTGCAGAGTTATCTTCCCTTGTGAGCAGGTATTGATTGTTACGTCATTGGTTTGTGTGAGAAAATTACGTCGTTTTCTCAAATATTGATGACATTACTCTCACAGACCAATGACGTAAAAATCAATACCTGCTCACAAGACCAGATAACTCTGCAATACGAAAAGACAGAATACACAAACTTCTATTTTTGTACCTATAAATAAGAAGTCATTTGTTTCACATGTCTTGTACAAGGAATTTTCCCCTTTCTATTTTCAGCATTAAATTATAAGGATTGAACTAGATAATAAAGTGGTTTATCAGTTTTCGGTCTATTAATTTATTATTTGTCCTATCCTTAAATGGGTAGACCATAATACATGTACAATGATTGCATTATTATCTATGTAAGTGAATACCTTACAACATGCATACAATGAATACACCAAGTTATGTGTGCGATGGAAACGTTATATAAAAGTACAGTTAGGAAGCTGCGCATAACCATACCGTCAAGAGTATTCATCTAAAAGTAGACAAAGTTATTGACGAATTTATATGCCATATAAGGAGAATTCATTTTATTGAAACTTGCTAATACCAGTAGGAGTCGAGCTTCCTTTTTTTTTTTTAAATTTCATCCATTTTGTTTTGACGCATATGATATTGTGACGATTCTTAAATAGAGCTTTTACATTAAAGTTTCTATAAAAGTGAGTTCATTTTACAAAGATAACCTTCACATGTATACGTATGTATCGACACTACATGAAGGTATGTCTTGTTAGATTCTTTTTAAATAGGGCAAAACACTATAAATCATATATATATTACTTTATACATTGCAAATAAAATATTATATGAACCAATCTAAAATAAATTAGATACTTTAACAAATACACATTTTGCAGATAAATTAATACCATAATATAAATTGTATAAATAAAGTTGTTTTGTTTAAAATTGCTTTGTAGTTACTGGTAGTGGCGGTATCAGTTAAATGATGTTCATGCTGGAATAATGTATTGAGTTTATCAAGTTTTATTAATCAGATAAATCACAAATCACTCGTGTAATACAATGCTGGTTTTGCTAAATCACAAGGAACATGTTGCATCACAAAACAGGCACATTGAATTAAAGATTGCGTAGCTTCTGTATGGTACATTTAGGTGACGAGTACACGTTCTCAACTCCAAAGGAAGGCATGCGTATTTTTCCATTTTTATTTTGATGATGTGATACCACAGCAAAATCAAGCAATTGCACTACATTTCCTCAAGTTGGGTATTTTATGGAGATAAGGCTTGTTAGCTCACTGTCCGTTTCAACATCTTGTGGTGTTTTGTGACGAATTGTTCCGTCAGTACATTACGGATACTACCTCCAACTGCACATTACTTGATGATACTATTCATTATTCATATTTGAAGTTTTAAAAATATCTCACAAGTACAACTTATCCATCGTAAGGTAAATCCAGGTCTCAACACACTAATACAAATTTCTCAGTTTCCGTTTCTACACAGCCTTTAGTTTCCAGTTGAAATTCCAATTGCCTTACTGTAGAAGGGGTCAATCCAATATCTCCAGCAACTTTGACATATGGACTGTACTGTTAAGCTCCTAATCGGTTCCGCAGACGCCTTACGACGTTAAAGCATGACCATTGGCGATGTAACGCTAATGCTGTTCTGTAGTCAATGATTGACCACCTATTGAATCGTAACTTTAGTGATCGTGCCGAAATAGATTCCAACAACAGCTTGTATTCCGTATTGACCTGGTCATTTGTCCGGCTTGTTGAGATAGCTACTGAGTGTACAAGTTGTAACGTCCACATCCGAAATGTCCGTCATAACTAAAGCGAGGAAGGTTAGAAGGCTTGTTTGAGTCCCTCAAGATGGCAGGGAAAACCGGGTTGGAGAGATTCCAGAAAGTCTGTTTCTGATTGTTAGTCGGGCTCAGGTTTTTTTATGTGACAAATTTAATGAAAACAAACTTTATCCAGCTGACATGAATTAACAGCCAGCAATGTGATATACATGTGCATTTTTATGCCATATCGATAATCCTATGTAAATGTGAATACAACACCAGTCACGCATGCTAATAAAGGTCAGAGGACGAACCATTGCGGACGACAATCATGCGGTAACAGCATTGTAATGGACTAGTAATTTGTCAGACTTTAGGGGTCCAGTTGTGATTTTGGGCCATGCGTATTTTCTTGATTTGCAATTCGTTGACTGAGAATACTTCCCGTAAGTCATTGTCCGTTAAGGTGAGAAACAATCGCCCGTCCACTTTTTCCTTCCGACATTTTTCTGCAACATTATTCAGTCCACATATGGCCAACCGATCGGCTAATCCGGTTATGGAAAGTGACGCGAACGAAGTATCTGCTTTACCAACGCCGCCTACAGAAAGTGGAGTGTATGCGTTATTCGGCGGCTTTTCAAGTGCTAGTCGTTTCTCTAGCATGTCATATCGATTAGCGGTTTCTTTGTGATTCTGCTTCTCATTCAACTTTTTTGTTGGTTTCCATTCTGGATAAACATAGTCTTCATCGTCTTCCTCGTCATTATCATCGTCTTCTGTCACAGTTTTCTCCTTCTTCATTGCGTTTGCTAATTTTGACTTGAGTTTCTGCATCCTGTTTTTCATTTTAAAGTTGGAGAAGAATTCTATGGCCTTGTGTTTAAGTGAATAATCTGGGCTTGCAGCTGTAGGTAGTTCTATGTCTTCAGCTTCGTCATATATATTTTCAGTTTCTTCATCTGCTATTTCGTACGCATCATAAGGGCATTCTTCTTCAAGTGTCGAAGATATCTCGTTTTTCTGAAATTTAAATGAGATTAATCAGAACTGTATTTGTGAGTGATATAGAAAGAATAATGCGGACAAGCTGGTATATTATATAATAAAAGGTAATACCGGTATGCTTTCACATGAAATTCGTTATGCATATATATACTGGTTGTCTGTAGCCACATAAACAATGTAATGCGATTGTGTATTTTTTCTGTATCCTCATTGGTTAGATCATAATCACGTGAAGGTCAGTATTTTTTTCTGTATCCTCATTGGTTGGATCATAATCACGTGAAGGTCAGTACTTTTTTCTTTATCCTCATTGGTCGGATCATAATCACGTGAAGGTCAGTATTTTTTTCTTTATCCTCATTGGTCAGATCATAATCACGTGAAGGTCAGTATTTTTTTCTGTATCCTCATTGGTTGGATCATAATCACGTGAAGGTCAGTATATTTTTCTTTATCCTCATTGGTTGGATCATAATCACGTGAAGGTCAGTATATTTTGTTATTGACTCGGTTTTACTATTTTGAGAATCACCAGGTTAATATTCACTTAATGACGTCACTTCAATTGTAACATTGCCATGCTCTTTGCCAAATGCAGCACTTTTCTCTTGACGGGTTTCATATCTGATATAACAATTAAAGACTTTTATTTCGGTGAATGTGCGTTGTAAAGACGTGAAAAGTTATTTTGACCGAGACGAAGTCTTTCCCAGGACCATATAATCACATATTCACCTCATCAGAAGTCCACAGTGGATACATATAATAATATAATAATGCATTCATTACATCTATAAACAAAATATGTAAACACAACAAGACAGAGAAAACAAAGTATTGATGGAAACTCAACCCTGGTATAAATACTTTGTAATAAACTAGAGGAATTAAAATAAATCTTAATTAACAAAAAAATGATCAATTTGTGTCCAGACATCAAATTGTTCTACTATGTCCCTTTCACGACTGAACTGTTCTCAGATAGTTGTGTTTGGGTATAAATACTGCCTGCTATAACCGAAAATTTAATTATGTCGTGTATTATATGACTAGTTGCCACACATACATTGTACTTTTCATGTCAAAGTCTGAATTATTTCTAGATTTTATATTGTGATTATCCGATGATAACAATCACGAAAAAATGTATCAAAATATAATTTATAAAGTACATTTCATACCGGTATCAAACATTGATTTCTTGTTTTGAAATGATTACATTTTTTATTATTGTGACGTTTACAATTGGTACCAAAATGCATCTCATTCAAATAATTGCTTTGGGAAGCTAATAATTTTGAAATTGTGCAATCCTTATGTCTCCACATGGAGCAATCTACCTAAGGGCACTGGTATTTATTATTTATTAGATAGACAAAATTTATGTATGTCGCAAACGTGCGTATCACAATACAAGCGCGTGTATAGTATGAATTACCCGAGTAGTTACTGTTCTGCCTATATATGAACAACTCATATACAAACCTTCCAATATCTATAAGTTTACGAGATAATTGATATGAAGGTCAATACACCTTCTCGATAAGACATGCACGCATGAAACTTACCTGTTGATATCGATTACTTACCTCTGTTCTACCTGGTGGTTTGGGTCCCTGCATGTCCGTTATGCTATGTTCTAGGTGGAGAACAACAACATTAACATAAACTTACTTTTACAACTCTTAAGGTAATAAACCTCAGTGACAGACCACGGTCTTATTTTTGTCTAACAGGAGGTATTACTTTTTCTTTAAAAAATCCATCAATGTAGTTGATAAAGAATACTTGCAGATTACAATAGTGATTTTACAACAGTGAATATATAACGCAGTGCCTTTTTTTGTATTTGTCTATTAATCATTTTGTACATTATCAAACCGATTTTCTTTGCATTTCATACATCATTTAGAAGGTACCTGATAAACTGGATGTAGACGGCTTACGAGGAGGAGGCATCGGTTTCCTCTCTTCGTCTGTAAATATCAACGTCAGATCATTTATTATCCATCATATTGACGCAACAATTATTATTTAGATTCTATATTTTGCTAATTTTTATACTATGTACATTTCTATTGTTTTTATGGAATATCAGTTCGGTATGCCCTTATCAATATGCAATCCATGACCAAATGGCGTCAGATTAACCGTATTTGCAGAGTTTACAATCGGTAATGCTAGTTACCTCATTGTTGACATACGATCTCTAATGAAACACCAGGATGTCGTAAATACCACTAGTAATGTGTGCTAGACCATTTTCCAAAACTTTACGGTATAGATAAGAAAATATCACGGCCAGTCGTCGATATCGTACTATGAGCTTCAGTCAATTAGACCTAGTCACATCCCCAAAAAGATTTTAGAAGAATATTTAAGTTACGCTTTCATATGTATTTATCTTATGTGACCAATGTTTTCCTTGTTATGTGCGCCTAAGCTATATGTTTATCATTGCAGGATAAATGACGATCCACATGCAGGTTTAATGAGGAAGTGGTATCGAACTAGATGTACCGTATCACTGGATATCATCTAACGTGTAATACTATGTTATTTAGAACGTCTTAAAACGTTCCATGTCACGTACTCCAGAAAATACGCACACTTTATATATCTAACTATACATTTTACCTTTTGACGTAAGGGATTGTATGGATTTTGCCGTGTATACTAGTAAATGTTTGACACCGACAACTCAGAAATTTGGCAGATAAGACATGCTGCAACATATCACAAGGTACAAGATCCAAGCTATGTTAGACATCATTTCTTCTTTTTCCAAAGATTTTGACACAGATGATCAGTGTTCGACCAATTCTGTAACTTATCTTTGCTGAATCATCATAACATAAACATGATTATTGCGACAGATATACTAAACGAATGACCATCAAATAGACAAGTCAATTCGGCTTCATCATAAGCGTATGTACACTAAGGTGTAATAAATGTACGAAATGACAATAAAAAATAGACAAGTCGATTCGGCTACCTCATAAGCGTATGTACAGTATGGTGTAATAAATGTACGAAATGACAATCAAATAGACAAGTCGATTCGGCTACTTCATAAGCCTATGTACACTAAGGTGTTATAAATGTACGAAATTACCATCAAATAGACAAGTCGATTCGGCTACAACATAAGCGTATGTACACTAATGTATTATACATGTACGAAATGATGATCAAATAGACAAGTCGATTCGGCTGCTTCGTGAGCTTGTGTGCACTTTGGCATTTTAAATGTACGAAATTACGGTAAAATTGACAAGTCGATTCGGCTACGCTTTGTTTTAATATCTTGTGGATTTTATTGTCATCTGGTACATATTTCACATCTCAGTGTACATACTCTGTGCTGATCATATATCTGTTGAAAATTGAGTTCATATCGCACTAGTTATCGAAACATCAACCGCAAGCATTTCACTGGCTGTGCAAGGTATATGAGGCAGTAAGTATTTACTTGTATATTACAGGAACACTGTATTGCAATGACAATATATGGTGTTGCAATAAAAATCTATCTCTCACTGGGCCTGGAATAACAATTGATCAGCACATTATAGATATTTTATCGATGTCATCGGTGTATATGATAACCTATAATGCTACTATTTGATGAGGTAGACTAAATAAACAACATACAATAAACGTGACCAATGTATGTGTTATTTATCTTACATTAATTAGCATGCATACGTACACGCTTTGTTATTTAAAGAAAACAATGGAATGATTATAGAGAAATGTTGAGGTAATTAAATAGTAAAATGTTGGGATGATTCATTTACTTGGTTTTCACGTTTTACTTTACACATAAATTCGTGAGTATCATGTATACCTGGTAGCAAAGTTGAAAATGTGTCTATATTTCAAAAGTGTGATTCCAACCTGTCGGAGCATGTTCCTGTTTTATGCTCGATGAATATACCAGCAAGTGGTTTTCATGCCAAAGTAAACAATTCCTTAAAGTTTAGCTGGAAGAAAGCTTTGGCTAATAACTTGATTTATATGTACCAGAGAGCGTTATATGACAAACTTTCTAACATTAGGCTACCAGAGAGTGTCGTCACTCGGGGACAAATAGATACATATTACGATGATATTGTTTCTGCAATAATTTCTGCTTCAAAGGAAACTATCCCTGTGGCTAAGTACAGAAAATATCTGAAACCTTACTGGAACAATGATTTAAAAGTTATTCATAAGGATATGAAACAATTAAGGAAAATTTGGGTAAACGAGGGGAGGCCTAGAGGTGATGCTTCTGATAGTGTTAAGAATTATAAAAACGTAAAATCTTTTTTTGTAGACAACCGTTTGACGCATACATGGCTGAGCAGTTGATGGAAATTGATAAATCGAGCGAGATGGACCAAAAACTATTTTGGTATCTGTTCAAGTCTAGATCAGGTAGACGTAAACAGACACAAACCGGAATTAAATATGGCAGAGTGACTTAAAGAGACCCTAGAGTTATCAGCGAGAAATGGGCTGATCATTTTGAAGAGCTGTTTAAAAGTAAGCCAAACTCAATGTTTGATGCAAATTTTGAAAAGCAAATTTTGAGACAAGTTGCCTTAATTGAAAAAACGACTTTAAAAGATGGAAACGAATTTTTGGACGAACCAATCACGGAAACAGAGGTTAAGAATGTATGTGAAAAATTAAGATCAAATAAAACAGGGGGATTTGAAAATGTAGTCTATGAACATTTAAGATATGGGAATCTCCTACTCTATCGTCACTTGTCGAAATTGTTTAATTCTTTAATCAAACATCATTACATACAAGGTGATTTTAAAAAGGGTGTAATTGTAACTTTACACAAAGTTAATGGAAAACCGAGAGATGATCCGGCTAGCTACCGTGGGGTTACTCTCTTGCCCGTCATTTTTAAGATATTTGAAATGATATTAACGAAGAGAATAGATCCAATCCTTAATTCGAGTTTTTTTCCTAATGTCCACCAGTCTGCCTATCAGGCAGGTTTATGTAGTATGCTAACGTCATTTAACTTACAAGACTGTGTGAATTATAATATTGAGAGAGGAGAAAATGTGTATGTAAGTTTCCTTGATAGCAGTAAGGCATTTGACACAGTGTGGCATGGTGGCTTATTATACAAACTGTATAAGATGGGGTTGAAATCGGAGTTGTGGATGGTTATGAAAGCAGTTTATACAAATGTAACTAGTTGTGTAGTGAGTAATGGCATTCTATCCAGATGGATTGTGATGGGGAGGGGAATCTTACAAGGGAGCGCATTGTCGGCAAAATGTACCTAGTATTCATTAATGATTTGTTAAATACGATTGAACAATGTCAGAAAGGGGCAATTATTGCAGATTTAAGAGTAAATATTCCAACCCAAGCGGATGACATCTGTCTAGTGAGCACTAAGCGTACTGATTTACAACATATGTTACAGTTATGCGAGAACTACAGCAAAATATGGAGATATATTTTTTCTTCGACCAGAAGTAGCATTGTAACATTTTCAAGGAGAAAGAAAATTGATGCAAATAGGATCTTTCATCTTTATAGTTGCACCCTTCCGTAAGTTGACAACGGAACGCATGTTGGAGTAATGTTTAATAATAAATTCAATAGTATGGAATGCACACGTCGTGCATGTAATAAGCTTCGTAGTGGAACAATGAGTCTAATTCGTTCTGGTTGTCATCCTAGTGCTTTAAACCCTTTAACTACAGGTAAAATAATTCAAACTAAAGTGTATGCTTCAGCCTTCTACGGCTGTGAACTTTGGAATCTAACAAACACAGAAATATTAATGTTAGAGAGGGCTCAACACTTAATTGTCAAATCCATTCAGGGTTTCGCAACCCGAACAAGAACCGATATGTGTACTGGACTCCTGGGTTGGACAAGTATAGAAGGATATATAGATACTAAAAAGTTATTATTTTTCGGTAGGATATGCAGATTACATAGTACGACACTCTCGTCTTGTATACTATTTACAATACTTTTTATTGTAAATCTGGATGCAGAAAATAATGTCAGGTATGGTTTTGCGTATGATATCCTATGGTCTAAGAAAATATAATTTGTATGATCCGGTTCAGAATTATATAAATGAGGGATGGTTTCCTCTTAAAACACGTTGGAAAATGCAGGTTAAAAATGCTGTGCATGGATATGAAGAAAAAGTATGGTTAAATAGGATGTGTAATAATACTGACTCTAGGTTTGTTTTAATACATGACAAGTTAGTTCCACACCAGCTGTGGAAATTATGTAAAAAGTTCCCAGGAAATAGAGAAGCTGTTTATTACATAATGAAATTAATTGTTACCATGAGGTGGTTGGCACATAATGAATTATGTCATAAATGTGGTCAGGTTTATGAAGATGTTGCCATCCACATAGTTCTGCAGTGTAGTTCTACTGACGAATTAAGGGACGAATTATGGTGTAATATCATTAATATTAGCGATATACTGTTCAGTGTATATTTGCACGACTTAAACGAAAGTCAATTATTTCATGTTCTGATCGGGGGGAATTTTTCTTACAATTTGTGTAACTCAGACCTAAAAGAGTTCCGTATGACGTATGCTAAACTATTTTTTCGAATGATAATATCATATCACAAATGACACATTAACTATATCTATGCTGATTATTGTCAAATAATCAAAAGGGCCTGATACTGCTAGCTTAAATTATATGCCCTAATATGTTAACAACATAAATTTATTGTAATATTTATGTATAATAATTTTGATAATTGATGTGTAATTGATGATTGTATTGTGATAAAGTAACGATATCCTTGTACTCTTTCAATGTCCATGTATGTATATATGTTGATTAATTCTTATATGTAACTATTCTGTTTATGTAATCTTCATTTTGGAGGAAATAAAGAGAATAAATAACCTATATTGCTACTATTTGATGAAGTAGACTAAATAAACAACATACACTAAACGTGACCAATGTATATGTTGTTTATCTTACATTAATTAGCCTGCATACGTACACGCTTTGTTATTTAAAGAAAACAATGGAATGATTATAGAGAAATGTTGAGGTAGTTAAATAGTAAAATGTTGGGATGATTCATTTACTTAGTTTTCACGTTTTACTTTACACATAAATTCGTAAGTATCATGTATACCTGGTAGCAAAGTTATTCGCAAAATATAAAGACACGCCTACCTGCTGGCTTGGTTTTGGGTTTCCCTCTCAATGGAACGGGAGGAGGCGTTGATTTGGCTTCTAGTGAGGTGCGGTTAGCAGGTACTGGCAGTGAAAAATCAACGTAAGCGCGAGATGGTGACGGCTTCGGTGGGACGCTGTTCGACGCAAATGGCATGTTGACTTCGTCACATTTTGTCAGACATACAATGACGTCGATATTTTTGGCTGTGTCGTTGTTGAACAATATCTGCTTGCATGGAATATTGTCATCTTCGCTTTCAATTTCACATTTGTGAAGGACACCTTTATAGCAGTAGCCAATGATTTGGTTCCCGTCAACGGAGTCCAGCTTAAAGATATCCCCCCGTGAGATAGATTCGGACTCCTGTTTACCATAGCTTCCGCCTTCCACTCTGACTATGATTGGAAAGGTGCGAGACGAAATAACCTCTTCCAGTGTTAGAACATCGTCACCCCAAGTCAAATCGTCATTTGTGGTCGCCATCTTCCTGTTTTACAATGTGTTATATAGCAACGCAACACTTTAGTTGCCCTAACCTGGTGTATTCCCGAAACAACATGGAACGCGGAAGGTATTCAGATAGCATATATTGAATCATTTGTTATCTCTGATAACCTCGATCTCGTATGTTTTACAGCTTTGTAATGCACATGTTACATAAAGCTAGAGGATTTCGACACTGATAACATGAAATAGATTTTCATTCGTTAAATGTTATCAGTTTTATTCGTCCCTCAATGAGTCGCGGTTCTTGTTAATGTCTCAAAAAATAAGTTTAATTATTGGCTATTACTCCATATAATGACTGCTGTAAGCGGATTCCCTATGTTGAGAAACATTTTCCTGATGCCCAATATTACAATTAATGAGATGTATGTTTTTAAATAGACAGTGTCGATCCGTTCGACATTTGTGCCATAATACCTTCTCGCTTCAAGACTTCGCAAGATACAATTCACTAAGACTTTGACTTCAACTTGTCATGTACTCATCTGATTACTGTTGTCCAAAACCACTTTATTTCACAAAGCATACTAGCATTATGGAATATATTATTATACCTCATCTTTATAACAGCTTGTGTGATTGGATGGTACTGGTTACATGACGTGGTAATAAAACATCACGTCGCCCTCACGCGTTCAAGGTTCCTCGATCGCATTTCCCTTATTCGGAGCCTCTCCAGAAAAATGAACAACTACAACTTAGTTACGAATGACGGAAGCAGACGACAACAATGGTGCGTCAAACTGATCATCTCTACTATTGTGTTATTGCTATTCATTTATGTATGCACTTTTCGGCAATATGACGTATTTATTGCCCTTACCATAGTGAATCACGATTTCTCCGAAGTTAATATTGTTTCACGAGGGCGAAGCCGTGAGTATTTACCCGGATCTGCCTCACCAGTAAAACTTAATGTGCGACAATACTACTTCAGAAAAAGCCGGGAAATCCCCCAAACCAAGCGTTATCAGTTTACAGTTATCAGATATATATGAGCATTCCCCCTTACACAAACGCATAGCACGTTTGAGTGTCAAAATCTACGAACATAGGGAACGTAGTGTTACTTATACTGATAGAGTGCCAGGACTTCTCTAGCAGGAATCACTAATGTAAGGTTACCGATGGGATGTATGTGACATTCTTTACCTGAAGTCAGTTATCTTTTGCTACTTACAGGGTGCCAGGATATCTCTCCTGTTGGTCAACGCATGTAAAGTTACGGATGTGATATCTGTGACATTCTTTAGCTGAAATAAGTTTGGTGACAGATAGGGCATCGGGATTTCTCCATCAAGAATCTGTTAGATTTGGTTACTAGTAGGGCCTCGGGACTTTTTCAACTAGAATCTATTAGCTTTGGTTACTGATAGGGCCTCGGGACTTCTCCTACTATAATCTGTTGGCTTTGGTTTCTGATAGGGCCTCGGGACTTCACCAACTATAATCTGTTAGATTTGGTTTTAGTAGGGCATCGGAACTTCTTCAACTAGAATCTATTAGATTTGGTTAGTGATTGGGCCACGGGACTTCTCCAACTATAATCTTTTTGCTTTGGTTACTGATAGGGCCTCGGGACGTCGCCAACCAGAATGTGTTAGCTTTGGTTACTGATAGGGCGTCAGGACTTCGCCAACTATAATCTGTTAGCTTTGGTTACTGATAGGTTCTCTGGACCTCTCCAACTATAATCTATTAGCTTTGGTTACTGATAGGTTCTCTAGACCTCTCCAACTATAATATGTAAGCTTTTGTTGCTGATAGGGCCTCGGGACGTCGCCAACCAGAATCTGTTAGCTTTGGTTACTGATAGGGCCTCGGGACTTCTCCAACTATAATCTTTTAGCTTTGGTTAATGATAGGACCTCGGGACTTCTCCAACTAGAATCTATTAGCTTTGGTTACTGATAGGGCCTCGGGACGTCGCCAACCAGAATGTGTTAGCTTTGTTTTACTGATAGGGCCTCGGGACTTCTCTAACTATAATATGTTAGCTTTGGTTACTGATAGGTTCTCTAGACCTCTCCAACTATAATCTGTTAGCTTTTGTTACTGATAGGTCCTCGGGACGTTGCCAACCAGAATCTGTTAGCTTTGGTCACTGATAGAGTCTCTAGACCTCTCCAACTATAATCTGTAAGCTTTTGTTGCTGATAGGGCCTCGGGACGTCGCCAACCAGAATCTGTTAGCTTTGGTTACTGTTACGGCATCGGAACTTCTTCAACTAGAATCTATTAGATTTGGTTACTGATGGGGCCTCGGGACTTCTCCAACTATAATCTTTTAGCTTTGGTTACTGATTAGGGCCTCGATACTTCTCCTACTATAATCTGTTAGCTTTGGTTATTGATAGGGCCTCGGGACTTCTCCAACTAGAAACTGTTAGCTTTGGTTACTGATAGGTCGTCAGGACTTCTCCAACTATTATCTGTTAGCTTTGGTTATTGATAGGTTCTCTAGACCTCTCCAACTATAATCTGTGAGCTTTTGTTACTGATAGGACGTCATGACTTCTCCAACTATAATCTGTTAGCTTTGGTTACTGATAGGTCCTCGGGAGATCTCCAACTATAATATGTGAGCTTTGGTTACTGATAGGACGTCATGACTTCTCCAACTAGAATCTGTTAGCTTTGGTTACTGATAGGGCCTCGGGACTTCGCCAACCAGAATCTGTTAGCTTTTGTTACTGATAGGGCCTCGAGAGATCTCCAACTATAATATGTGAGCTTTGGTTACTGACAGGGCGTCACGACTTCTACAACTAGAATCTGTTAGCTTTGCCTACTGATATGGCCTCAGGACTCCTCCGACTAGAATCTGTTAGCGTTGGTTACTGATAGGGCCTCGGGAGATCTCCAACTATAATATGTGAGCTTTGGTTACTGATAGGGCGTCAGAACTTCTGTTAGCTTTTGTCAGTGATGGAAAGTAATGTAAGGTTACTGATATGATGTCTGGGGCATTCTCTACATGAAATCATTCAACTTTTGCAACTGGTCGAGTGTCATGTCAGGATTTCCCTATCTTGAATAACGTTTGTAAAGTTACTGATCGGATATCTGTAGCATTCTTTACATGGAATCAGTTAGCTTTTGCTACTGGTAGGGTGTCAGGATTTTTCCAACTAGAATCTGCTTACTTTCATTACTTATGGGATGTCAGGATTTTTTCTAGATCAAACAAGGTATTTAAGGCTAATGATATGATGTCAGGCATTCTGTACATGAACTCAGTTAACTTAGGTAACCTACTAAGCTAGCTGTATTTGAAATCGAATTAAGTATTCAAATGTTTTATATATCCAGTTTTATAGTTTAAGTGTTTATACAATACTTATTCGAGGTGCTTATATACGGCTTTATCACAACCTATTTCGTACGTCGCCTCAAAGCGGTTCACAAATGGTTATAGGGCCTTTGTAAACAGCCAATATCTTAAACAACTCCCTAGGGTGCATACAGCCGGTGCGCGCTCGCAGGTAGCATTCAGAAATTCTAGCACAATTGGGAGAATTTTTAAACAAAAAATAAGAATTGGCAAATCTATTCATTGTTTGTTCAGTATGACTGTATGACTGACATGTATTACCAAATCATACACACATACTGATGTTAGTCGGCCATTGCTGATATGACAAATTTGTAGTTGTGTACATGTTTACGTCAGATGTACGATACACACATACCGTAGTACTGCTATCAATAGATACACAAAACCACTTCCTGGTTATGGTTATTGTACACAGAAGGTGCATATGTTAAACACGTAGCACATTACGTAACACACACCACCCCTGCCAAACTGTGAATGGCAGAGTTAAAGAAATTTGAAAAATGCGTTAGAGTTTGAAATGAGAGCTCGGATCGACAGGAAAACAAATATCGAGAAATGTACCATGAATCCTACAAACAAACCGGTTTTGAACCCATTTTTTATGAAGTCTTATTTGTCTCTTTACAACAGCACTATGCTTTTTGTGGAATTTTTGCTTTTAAAGGGAATTTGCAATATATTTAGACACCCACATTCAGGAAAGGAATTGTTAGGACAAATGAAAAGGTGGAGATGGAGGGCTTTTAATACGATGTAAACGAATGTGGCATTATAGGACAAACTCATCTTATGACATACGCTGTGGTTACTTATGCAAGTTATGAGGAAAGAACAAAAACTGATATGTAACTTACGAATAGGAAATACTAGTTTGTCACTACTGGGGACAGAATACTGGTACGTTACTACTAAGGGAAGATTACTGATACGTTACTACTAAGGAAGGAATACTGGTACGTTACTACTAAGGAAGGAATACTGGTACGTTACTACTACGGAAGGAATACTGGTATGTTACTAATAAGGAAGGAATACTGTTATGTTACTACTAAGGGAAGATTACTGATACGTTACTACTAAGGAAGGAATACTGTTATGTTACTACTAAGGAAGGTATACTGTTATGTTACTACTAAGGGAAGATTACTGATACGTTACTACTAAGGAAGGAATACTGGTACGTTACTACTAAGGAAGGAATACTGGTACGTTACTACTAAGGAAGGAATACGAGTATGTAATTTATAAAGAGATAATACTGGTATGTAACATTTGGGGTTGAAATACTGGTATGCTACTAAGGAAAGAATCCTGGTATGTTACTACAAAGGAAGGAATACTGGTACGTTACTACTAAGGAAGGAATACTGGTATGTTACTTCTAAGGAAGGAATACTGGTATGCTACTAAGGAAGGAATACTGGAACGTTACTACTAAGGGAGGAATACTGGTACGTTACTACTAAGGGAGGAATACTGGTGTGTTACTACTAAGGAAGGAATGCTGGTATGTTACTACTAAGGAAGGAATACTGGTATGTTACTACTAAGGAAGGAATACTGTTATGTTACTACTAAGGGAGGAATACTGGTGTGTTACTACTAAGGAAGGAATGCTGGTATGTTACTACTAAGGAAGGAATACTGGTATGTTACTACTAAGGAAGGAATACTGTTATGTTACTACTAAGGGAGGAATACTGGTTTGTTACTACTAAGGAAGGAAT